GTACATACTCTGTAGACATTAACGGAAGTTTGTGTCAAATGTTTCAAAAGATCGCAGTCTTGTTTTGTTCCATGTAGGTCAGAAATGAGGTCTTCATTTCGTCAACCTGACTTTATGCTTTAATGCATTCATTCTGCAAGTACTTGGTTTATCTCAAAATTTGACCTTGGCCTTATCATATCACCAGTTACGGTCCCTGACTGTGTTCTTCTATCAGTTTTGCAAATTACGGGGCTGGACACAGACAGGGACCTAAAAATGAAATGAACATACACAAAACAAAAATAAAACTGAACCCCCCCCCCCCAAAAAAAAAAACATCAGTAGGAACGTATGCAAAACAACGAGTCCTCCAAGCCATTATTTTAATTTAGGGAAACAAGAATCACTTTGCACCTGTTTCTGATCAAACCCGTTTAAGCAGTTCCTTGATTATTTATAGGTCAGTGCTTTTCAAACTTGGATTTGCATACCGATCACGTGGGCATCTGTTAGACTGCAGACTGTGCCCCAGTAGGTCTGGGCTGGGCTTGAGATGCTGCCTCTCGAGCTCGCTCGCAGGTGGTGATGCTGATGCTGGTGCAGAGGCCACACCTTGAGGCCTGAGGTGTAGACCCAGCCCCGCTCCTCCCAGTGCCGCGGGCTTCACTGATGCCCTCCTGTCATATGCAGCTTCTCCCTTAGCCTCCGCTTCCAGCAATTCCGCGCGTTTCTGGGGGGTTATCAGGCCCTTGCCATTCAACCAAGCAGTCCCATAGTTAAGTTCTTTGACTAGGAAGATAAACAAAAAAGCTTGCTGGATGCCCAGGTGTCTTTCTGATTTTCCATAATAAAAAATGCTGTGATTGTGTATTGGGGTGCTTCCGGAGTGACCTCAGCATTCTGAACTTCTGTGACTCTAAGGGCCAGAACCGTGTTCTCAGGGAGCCTAAAGAAAGCAGCTGGCTTGTGCCAGGATCAGACGCGTGCTCCGTCCTGCAGGGGAAGGCACAGCAAGGTCTCCCTGGCTCTCACAGGTGTCACCTAATGCCTGTGACCTACCCTGGCTGCGACTCTGGACTTCGGCAAAATAGTGTAAGGCAAGCATGGTTAAGCATTCGCTTTCATAATATTTTGAGGGATGGGGGAGGTGTACTTTTACAGAAGATTCCTCCCTCTGCAGCTCAGCACCAGAAGTCTCAAATACCCGTCATTCAGCCTTGATTAATACTAAGATGAGACTGAAGACCACGAGCTTCTGTAGCAGAATTTTAAGAGGACCCAGGTGCTCTTGAGAAGGCTGAGCTCCAAGTCAGCAACTTGCTCTTCCGACATGGATAGGGCAGGCGGAATAGTGATATGCGAGCTGGCATTTATTTCAGGTCAGATCTATTTATTTTGTACCCTGTCGTCATAAAATTGAGATTCTGTCTAAGATTTTACTAAGTGAACAAATAATAAGGAAAGATTTATTTTAATACCCTGAAGGACTATTGACTTTTTGAGACGATGACTGGTTGTTGTAGGGAGCTATATTCGTTAAAATGTTTGCCATGGAAAACGATTCATAAATTCTGTTGGTCATAGAAGATTGGTTTACGCGCCAGCCTTGGGGTGACGATCACCTCTCTGATCTGGTTCTGATTAATTTACCCGGTTTAAGCAGCTCTGCACACTGCCTCAGAAATAGGAATGTCGCTAAAAGCCTTCAGTGTAAAAAGGTCATTATGCAAGTAAAATAAATGAATAATGCTAACAATTAAATGTAAAACACAAATTGGAATTCTGTTTTTGTTTTTTTCATGACACTGGCCTTCAACTCTTGTAGAAGTCTTGCTGACTCTCTATCTTTAATGCCCGATCTCTAAGTAACAGTTATTACTTTGTAGCAGAGTTCCCTGAAACTTGACAGCTGGAAACGGCTATCTCACAGGTTCTGTACAGATCTGAGTGCTGCCTGGCAGGATCCTTTTGCTGTAGGGTCTCCCACTGGGTTCAGGCACAGTGTCAGCTGGGGCTGTGGTCTCATCTGACGACCCAGCTAAGGGAGAGCCCTTTCCCAAGCCTGCTCACACGGTTGTTAGCAGGATTCCACTCCTTTTTGGTTGTTGCGTGGAGTATCTCTGCTCTTCACGGGCTGTTGCCTCCGTTCCTTACCATGTTGGCCTCTCCAGTAGGTGAGTCACAGCACGGCAACCTTGACCTCCAGAGGGAGGGCTCTGAGAGAGAGAGAGAGAGAGAGAGCGAGCGAGCGTGCGCACAAGATGAAAGGCATGGTCTTTTTCTAGCCTAATCTCTCTATCTCTCTTTTTAACCATTTTGTTAAAGCATGATTGACATGTAAAATGCTGTAATATTTAATGTGTATAGCCCCATGAGTTTGGGGATAAGTAAACACCTGTGAAACCATTACTGCCGTCAAGGTCATAAACAGACCCGTCTCTTCCCAAAGTTTTCAGCAACCCCTTGATAATAATAATAATCGTATTATAATATATTATAATGATAATTATAATAATTATAATTTGTGTGTGTGTGGTAAGAGCACTTAACATAGATTCTACCTTCTTAGCAAATTTCAAGTATATAGTACAGTATTGTTAGCTGTGGACGTTATGTGGACAGGAAGTCTCCAGAACTTCTTTATCTTGTAGAAATAAAACTTTGTATCCTTTGACCATCACCTCTGCCATTTCCCCCTCCTCCCAGCCCCTGGCAACCACCACTCCACCCTCTGCTTCTAGGAGTTTAAGTATTTTAGAACCCACATGGGGGTGAGACCAGCCCCAGGGGGCTGGCTTCTGTGGCTCAGCCCTCTGAGTTCACCCATGTTATTTCAAATGGCAGACTTTCCTTCTTTTTAAGCCTGAATAATATTACATTGTCCAGATGCACCACATTGTCTTTGTCCACACATCCATCGAAGTATGTTTTGGTTGTTTCCATGTCATGATGTGGCCTAGTCCCTGAAGGGACATCCCATCACTGTATCCTGCTTATGAGAACCAAGTCTGTAGGTACAGGCCATGCTCAAGGGGAGGGGATAGCACAAGGACATGAATACCACAATGCAGGGCTCTCTGGGGCCTTCTCAGAGTCTTTCTGCCGCACGTAGCAAGGGTTCCATAATTATGAGTTCGCATCTGTCATCGCACTCGATCCCCGTCCTTAAGATGCATCTTCCAGGACGTCATGCACTCCTTGTCCAAGTTGAGTTCAAATTGGTTGTGCTTTGAGCAGCTAACAGTCTGAGCTGCGGGCCCAGAACAGGTGGCTTAACTTGCATTACAGTTTGTTCTGTAGAGGATGTGCAGGGAGTTTGCACGTTTGCATTTTTAGGTTCTGAAAAAGGAATTGAGAAGGAATGGAGGCCTAAAGCCAGAGAGCCCCTCTAAGATGACAGCAAGCGAGGCATGGTGGGTGGGAGGGTGGTGATGAAATGTAGAAAGGTTAGGCTGGCTCCTTGCCAGTAAGATCTCAGTGTAGGTGACATGCCCCAGGGAGAGGCTTTCCCTGTGCGTCCCATTGAAATTAGCTGTCTGTTCTCCCTTCCCCCTTCTAGAGCTGGTGCTCTGGCACCATTCCCTGCTCTTTTGTTGTTCACGGTCTCTCTCCCCCTTGAGGACTAAGCCCCAGGAGACCAGGGGCCTCGTCTGTCTAGGTCCAGCCCTGTGTACCGTCAGCACCACGTATGGGCCCTGGCAGACGGTAGGCTCTTAGTAAATACTTCCCGAATCAATGAATGAATTGAGCACACAGACGTGAAATGACTCCAAGGAGCTTTTTGGAAATCGTAATATCTTCATGACTTCCAAAGGAAATGCCGCTGATTCAGTTAACATGCAAAATGTACTAATTTGTTAAAGAGAAGAAAACAGTCTCAGAATTGTGGGGTAGTTTTGTCCCTGCCACTGATGACTCGTGGCCGTCAGGCCAGTCATGTGCCCTCTCTAGGCCTCCGTTTTCTCTGGATACATGCAGGGGCTATAGGCTGGGTCTTCAGACGGCTCTGTCCTCAGATCCAGCTCAGGCCAAGGAGGCTCTGGTTGTCAACATTGGTCTACCATAGAAGATTCTGTTTGAAGAAAGGATGCTATCCCCCGGGGGTGGGGTGGGGGGGTGGTGTTTGACACCCATAGGGCTTCCATGCCCACCAGTGGCCATTCCAGTTCTGCAAAAGCATTCCTGGTTGCAGTCCTTTTGGCTATGAGGGGTAGAGACCTGAGGCCCACAGAATTCAGGATTAGCAGAACCAACGGGAAGGGCCATAGGAAGGCTAATAATTTTGGTGCAAGTGATCTAGCGCCCTTTCCAAGAACATAAAAGATCGCCTCTCTCTTCCTTCCCTCCCGCTTCCTCCCACCCCCTTGCCTCACACCTCGCTTAAGCCCACATCATGCAGCCTTTGAAATGTTAGCATCGATTTTTTTTTTTTTCCCTCGTTGACTAACTCATTTCAAGATTTCATTTCTGGCACTGCCTTTCCCACCAGATAGCCAGAGCTTCCAAGCTCCAAGTTTTATAATTAAAATTCTGTCACATCCCCCGAAACGGTGCAAATTGTGCCGTTACGCCTGGCATAAAAGATTTGAAAGCACTTCACCTAGTAATTTAAATATAATACTTCTGGTAGCTTTCAATTTCTGGTATTTTTAATTCTAATTAAAAACCTATCATTGAGCATTACTATCCTCCGTACAGCATTGCTGGTGTGCCTCTGCGCTCCACTTTGGCCGGCTAGTTTTAAACAAACAGCTTGGCTGTGTGGCTGCTGCGGCCCACGTGGTCTTTCCTGGCCTTTGGGAATCACCAGGTCCCAGGCATAATTAGTATAAATCACAATCCTCTAGACTATGACAGGAAAATGGTATGTTTGAAGAGCAGCTTATTAAAATGACCTACTTAATTTAAGAAAAATATTGTATCCACTTGCACAATAACCTGGATGCTTTCCCTGACAGATTTTATAATATTTCTTCCCTCTCCTTTTTTTTTCCCCCTTCCCTCTTTGTTTTTACAAGAAAAGGAAAGGGAATGGAAAGGCCCGTTCTACTTCATCCAAGGCGCAGACCCACAGTTTGGACTAATGAAGGCCTGGTCCACTGGGGACAGTGACAGTGGTGGTGACGAGTGGGGGCAGGAGATCCGTCTCACTGAGCAAGCTGTTGAGGCCATCAACAAGTTGAAGCCCAAACCCAAGTTCTTTGTTCTCTGTGGGGACCTCATCCATGCCATGCCAGGTAAGACTCGTGCTGTTGATGTCACCTTCTCTCCTTCCAGTCATGACTGCATTTGGGCGGGGGGGGGGGGGGACATTTAAGTGATGTCTTTGTTCGGTAATGGCCCATTCCTTCTCTCCGTGGCTGCTGGAGTATCCTTAGACTTCAGAAAATGCACCCTCATTTTTACATTTAGACTTTGGCGAGATTAATCACAGTAATTAGGTGCAGCTACAGTTCTGATGATCTGAACTTACTCTGAAAAGTGGAACAGACTCCCACAAGTCACCTTTATTTCCAGGGGACAGACTTCAACTTCTTTCAGATGCCATATCCACAAGTGTAGTGTTCTCTTATTTCCTCTCTTCTTATACTTCAGTATCACCTGTATTTGTGCTTTTTCACTTGCAAGTGACAGAAATCTAACTTAAACTGAATTATTATTATTATTATTCTTTTTAAATTAAAGGTACATGTTCCTTTATGGGACTGTAAAATCCAGGGGCAAAGGTGGGCTTCAGGTATGGCTGGATCCAGAGGCTCAGAGGTTGTTAACAGAACTTGGTCTCTCTTGCTGAGCCCTGCTTTTCTCTGGGTTGACTTCCTTCTTACACACGCTCTCTCTAGATGGTGGTTCCTGGGAGCTCCAGGTTTACATCCTTCTCACAGAAACCACAACAGAAAGAAAGTACCTTATTCTTGGTGGTCCATTCAAAGTCCCAGACTGACAGCTTTCTGGCTCAGGTGTCCCCTTAAAGCCAGGATGTGGGTGGGGTCTACAGCAGTGTGGTCTAAAGAGCAGGATGATTTCCCTCAAGGGACATAGAATGTAAAGATAACAGATGCCTTCTAGAACTCTCTTGCATTTTTGTTTCCTCCTCTGATACATTCTCCCCCAGGCAAGAGTAACGCCCAGTGACCACGTATATGCTGGTAGAACTGTGCCGGCCCATCAGAGAGGTAGAGTAGACCAGTAGACCCCCATGGCCACCCTTAGTGGACCAGTGGTCTCTTCCTTTGGAGCAGTAGTGGGCCTGAAGACCATTGCCGAAAACACCACGGTGGCCATGCATGTTTGCTTTGGCTAACGCTGTCCTGTAAACCTGCGCTCTGAGTCCTGTGATTTCCAGTGCCTTTAGAAGCTGAGGCACTCTATGGTAGGCTGGGGTGCATTCATTCTTCCCCATGACTTCACTTGTCTGGCAGCCTACCTCTCCAGAAGAATCCCAAAATGAAGATGTGAGAGTGGGAAAGGGGCTGCCCAGAATCACAGTCCCCAAGGTCCAGTGACTGCTCAGACCTGCTCTCATTCTCTGTTCATACATATTTAATGCAAAGTCCTGAATGTGGACGTGCCCATGTCATTCATTGGGTACCAATGGAGAGAACCCAGGGTGGACATCCCTGGAGAACCTCTCCTGCTCTTGGGCTTGTGCCAAAGTGGCAAGGTGGGGAAGAAGGAAAATAAGGCAGTGGACAGAGACCTCCACACCTGCCACTGATGTGCTGGGTGAACTTGGACAGACCCCTTCCCTTCTCAGAGCCTTCGTTTCTGAGCCAGGAGCCCACTGATGCAGTAATCATTCAAAACCTTGATCACAGTGAAGAAGGCTCAGACAGCCCTGTCTCTCTGTGCGGGTGGTGCACGTCTCAGCAGCTTGGTACAGAAGCACATGTCACAGCGTGGTGCTGAGTTTTGTTTTGTAGCAAGGTAAAATCTTAGCTGCCTGTGAACTGGGCCATCCTTGGTGACCCTCAGCCGAGGGTTTCCTGGTGCTGGTATTGCACACTGCTAAAGGGAGCACAGAATGCCCCAGTTTCTAAAGGAGTTAGAAATCATAGCAGGACTCGGAGTCTTGGTTTACCTGGTAAAGCCAAGGTAATCTGCTAGTTGACCAGGTTAATGCTGCTTCCAAATGGTCTGATCTGCTGTTAGCTAGGTTCTTTTGGATCTTTTGGCGCAATACACACCGTAACATCAGCTAGATCTCTCACTCTGGACCGTCCAGTGAGCAAACTTCTGCTTTTATTGGACACTTGAAGGTCAGATTCCAGTTTTATGATTTTTATGTCCAGTGGCTTCTTTTCTTTGAAAACAGAAAGATAGGGGTACCTGGGTGGCTCAGTTGGTTTAATGTCTGCCTTCAGCACAGGTCATGATCCCAGGGTCCTGGAATCAAGCCTCTCCTTGGGCTCCCTGCTCAGCAGGGAGCCTGCTTGTCCCTCTTCCGCTCTGCCTGCTTGTGCACTCTCTCCCTCTGTCAAATAAATAGATAAAAATCTAAAAAAAAAAAAAAAAAAAAAAAAAAAGAAATGTTATAGGACTCACTAAAATTATATAACATGTTTTTGTAGCTGTTTACCGACTCATTCTGAATTATGTTAATGTATTCAGTCATATTTCAAAATAAGATTTAAAATGAAAGCTCTCTATGCAGTTTCATTGCTTCTTGAATAAAAGATACTGAGCATAGTAAATGAAAAGATACGGTTTTTATGATCAACTTTTTCCATTGGTCAGAAGACCTTGTAAATGTGAACCGGCAGTCTTTTGAACACATAATTTTATATTCAGTGGACCCGAGCAGAATTCACATCTGTTCTGAAGAGTTGGACTGTTTGGTTGGGTTGTAACTGAGCCAGTGGAAGGACTGTAACTATTTTGAATATTGTGGTCTGAGATTAAACAGACTGTTTTAAAGCTAGTTACCATTTTTTAATATGCAATTAGTGGCTTCCTCCTCATTTAGCTCATACGCAGGGGCAGACACTAGAAAAGTAATTATTTGCTTTGACTGCTTAGCACATTGTTAATTATCAGATGCATGTATTAATAGGCAAATAAAATCAGAAGCATATTTTTAATTCTGCCATAAATAATATCCTGGGCCAAGTAGTTTTAAGTTCAAACTGGAGAAAAAAAAAAATTCATGAATTATGCTCTTTCTAATGGAAGTCATAATGGCACTTTTCCATTATACATATTCATCACAAAATTTGTTCATTTACAAATGCCTACCGTGTGCCCACTGAGTGCCCTTTAAAGCCCTAGGCGCTGTGGGTATGATGGTTGGAAATGAAAGGGCGGCCCGTCCGTGGAGCTTAGAGTCTGGTAAGGGAAGTGTGAAACCGGGGATGGTGAGGGGCCCTTCTGGTACCACTCCCTGCAGGGATGGTGCCAGAAATGCAGGACAAAGTCTAGTTAGTTTTGAAACAATGTGTTTTCATTCTGCAGATGTCTTTTTGGTTACCTTCTTTTTTTTTTTTCTTCTTATTTTATAAAGCTTCTCTATGGGCTAAACCACATAAAGAGAAAATGGAGATTTGTGTAAATATCGAGCCCACCGATTTTCAGTCTTTCACACTGAAGCCCAGGGTGACTGGTCGGTCGCTCTGAGGAGGCATTGACCCATTTCTGAGTCTTCAGCAGGTCATGTGAGAACTTGACAGATCGGAATGTGGTGATGCAGTCCGAGTACAAGAATTCCTTTTAGGGCGCCTGGGTGGCTCAGTGGGTTAAGCCGCTGCCTTCGGCTCAGGTCATGATCTCAGGGTCCTGGGATCGAGTCCCGCATCGGGCTCTCTGCTCAGCAGGGAGCCTGCTTCCCTCTCTCTCTCTGCCTGCCTCTCTGTCTACTTGTGATCTCTGTCTGTCAAATAAATAAATAAAATCTTTAAAAAAAAAAAAAAAGAATTCCTTTCACACCATAGGATTTGGTTTGCTATTAATGTGCACGTCTGGCCTGTTGATGAAAAATTGCCACAAGCACACAAAACATAGAGTGCAGAACCAATTCTTCCCTGGGTATAAAGGCTCCTTGAAGAGCTCTTTTTGTGTTGACTTCTGCTTGGGCAGAATCAGGGTTACGTGATTTCGTTTCAGTTCGTGATTCAGCCTCCAGAAGTCCTCTGTTACGCTAACCGAGGCAAGCCCGTGTTAGCATTATTCCAGTGGATGCTGTATGAGTACCCCATGGCTGCTCTAACAAATGACTGTGAACCTCGTGGCTTAAAACAAACACAGATTTGTTCTCCTGCAGTCCTGGAGGTTAGAAGGCTAGAGTGGGTCCGTCCTTCTGGAAGTTCCAGCTTCTGGAGGCTGCCCATGTTCCTTGGGCCATGGCCTCTTCCTCCCATCCTTTTTTTTTTTTAAAGATTTTATTTATTTATTTATTTATTTGACAGAGAGGGAGACACAGCGTGAGAGGGAACACAAGCAGGGGGAACTAGAGAGGGAGAAGCAGGCTTCCCGCTGAGCAGGGAGCCCGATGCAGGGCTCCATCCCAGGAACCTGGGATCATGACTTGAGCCAAAGGCAGAGGCTTAATGACTGAGCCACCCAGGCACCCTCTTCCTCCCGTCTTCGAAGCCAACAGCGCAGCATCTTCTCTCTCCTCTGACCTTTGATTCATCTTCTTATATTCTATTAAACCTGCCCTCCTGCTGCTTTCTTATAAACACCCTTGCGATTATTGGCCCACGCAGATAACCCAGTATAAACTCTCCATCTCAGTATCTATAACTTTATCACATCTGCACATTCCCCTTTTACTGTGTAAGATAACATGGTCACTGGTTTGGGGGTTGGGGTGAGGACATCTTTGGGGGGCATTTTCAGCCTGTCACAGATGGTATGGGGTGTGGTCGAAGGTGTGTGTCTGCCAGGACTGGTGCTCCTAGCTCACCGGAGAGTCCTTTGTTATTTCCCTTTTAACCGATGGTGGAAACTAGGTCAGAGCAGTTAAGTACTTTTCCCTGCTTGTAAGTGGTGGAGTTAGGATCTTAACATGGATCCTGCTGTTTTCACACCTCACGTACACCTCACACCCTACTCTAAGGGTTGGCCCCAGAGCAACCGTCAAGGGCCTGTTGATCTGATGACATGGAATCAGCATTTTGATGAGATCCCCAGGTAAACTTATAGACGATCAAGTCTGAGAAGCTCTTGCTAGACAAGAATGTGCCAGGCCCTGTGTTTTTTTGCATTAGGTGCACTTTTTGTATGTACACTAGTAGTCTGT